ATTTGTATAAGTTTTTTTTATACGGTTTTAGTAAAACAATAAATAAGCCTATAAATCGTTCTTATGTTTGTGTGTGTGTGTATGTGTGTTTGTATTTGTTAATGTGTGTGTGTGCTTGTGTATATTTTTGTACGTGTGTATGTGTCTTTAATATTTGTGCCTGGTTGTGCGTGAATATTTTCGTAATCATTTGTGTCTTCGATTGAAGCTTCTAACTATAGACGTTGTCTATAGGCGGTGCCTGTTTATAGGCAGTGACTATAGACAGTGACTATAGACAGTGACTATAGACAGTGAAATCATGTTTTTTCGCTTTTTTTAGTTTTTCAAATTTATTTTGAATTTCTTTTTAATTTTATTTAATAATTCATATATTAATCTTTTATTTCTTGATGGTTTTATTCTTTCATTCAATCAATCAATATATAATATGCTATGTGTGCGTTACATGTACACACACATACACACACACATATACGTGCACACACACATACATACATATACACACATACACATACATACACACACACACATACATACATACATACATACACATGCACACACACTATCACATTTATATATTTTTCTATTATTAACTTATCAAAACATTTTTATTCATAATTTTATTTTTTGGCGAATATATTTTTGTGTATACATTGCTTCTTATTGCTATATTTTCAAACAATCACTTTAGTATATATATATATATATATATAACACATTCTGTGTTTTAAGTTTTTTAGTTTTTTCGAAATAAAAATAAAAATCTTGAAAAAGATTTTTTAGCTCAAACCAAAATTGACCTCCCGTGTTTTAGATCTAAAAGGCGTGTATGTGTTTGCTTGTGTGTTTGTTTGTGTGTATTTGTGTGTTTCACAACATTCGTTGGTTGCAAACGAACGAAATAAATGATGAATCGTTGAAAATCCTCGTACAGTGCAGATGCGAACATATAAAAAACTCATTTACACATGCAAGCATTTACGTATATACACGTAAGTCGTCTACCTAAGTTTCTCTCTTTCTTTCTCTTTCTCTTTCTTTTCTCTCTCACTTTCTCTCACGAATGATTTATTCCAGAACATGAGTAATGTTACAATGCCATTCCTTCACAAGTTGAATTTTTGCGGTGCTGGTAGTAGTAGTAGTAAGTAGTAGATGTAGTATCGACTAAAGTAAAAGTATTAGTAGTAGTAGTAGTAGTAGTAGCAACAGTAGTAGTAGTGGTTATAGCAGCAGCAGCAGTAAGGGTAGAGACGACAACATGAAAAAAGACATCTTTTTGTCACCCAATAGCAAAATTACTACTCTAAATACACGTCATTACTTAAACTAACTAGTTATTGATTGATGGGTGGGTAATTATATGAATGCCAAGTCGTACCGTAGAAATGTATAAATGGATTGCGGTGTGTATATGGAGTGTATTTGTTGAATGTGTATATACCATCGAAGCGTGTGTGTGTGTGTGTTGTGTGTGTGTGTATTTTACGTGATTGTGGACAGATTGTATATATATACATGGATTTTTTTATGTAGCTTGTATGTGAAGTTTATATATGGAGTGTATACTTATTGTGTAAGTTGTATGAATGAAATGTGTGTATGAGTGCGTGTATCGAGTTTGTGCATGAAGTGTGGCGTGTGACTGACTTGTATCGAGTTTTTGTAAGGAGTGTAGTGTGTCTATGGGGCGTGTATATGAATGTGTCCGGAGTGTGTATATGTAAAGTGTGTATTTTATTTCGAGTGTGTACATGGAATTCTCTGTAGAGCCCACTCGTGTCTGTTTTGTAGTGTATGTAATTAATATGGACACACCAATAACATGATTGGACGTTGAGAACGATGATGACGACGACTACAAAGAAGAGGTTGGTATGGTGATGATGAGGATGATGTCGACGCTTGCATAGCGATGGTGTTAGTGGTGGTGATGAAGATGATGATGAGGAGGAGGAGGAGGAAGAGAAGGATGATGATGATGAGGAGGATGATGATGGCCATGCAGGCCATCATCATCAACATTGATTTTAACACTTTAATCCATCAAACCAACGTATTGGAATTATTTTTTAATAGGTAATAACGTTGCCAAAAACTTTGATAAACAATTTTTGGCGCCATTTTTAATTACATTCGTTTTATGAAAAAAAAATAATTTTTCAATCTTCACTCGCCATTAAGCGTTTAAATTTTTTTTAAAATTTTTTTTTAAATTTTTTTAAAATTTTTTTTAGAATTTTTTTTCCGAAAACTCCTTTTTAATTTTATTCCATCATAATGGCCTCATTTATAAAGTGAAGCGAGGTGGCGAGCGTTTGCAGACGCGCCAAAATTCGCGCCCTCACCGATCATTTGTTGACTGTTACTTTGGGGGTATTAAAAGGATCCAAGATGGCAACACTTCATTTTTTAGTGTGGACCACAAGGGTGTCACGTTCTACTGCTATGCACATGTTTCTGTTGCTTATAAGTACTATAAATTGCTTATACTTCA